TCACAGCATATAATAAAAATTATAACAAAAGCAAAGTTTTGTTCAAATAATCCAATAAAATGTATAACAAATACAATACAAAAGTAAAACAAATATAAATCCAATTTTTGGTGAAAATATTTTCTTAGGAAATGCAAACATTTTATTATGAATTCCTAGAAATTGTTTTTTAGTAATAAGTAAATTCCCAGATCTATATGTATTGTTCAATAGAGATAAGCATTTCTTGGAAAATACATAATTTGCATATAAATCAAAATATAATTAACAGTTTCTATTATAATTAGGTGTTATAATTGAGTGATAATTAAGCATAATTAACAATTAATAGTTTGTTTTATAACAAATTTTTAATATATGCACAGTTTATGGCACAAAATGTACTAAAAATGTAAATTAAGGGCAATGTGTGGTAATTTATAAGTTGTGGTTTTGCCACTAAAGTGACATGGTGTATATTTGGTTGACATAAAGTTATATAATCTAGGTAACCAAATACGCCATCTTTCTTACCTTGAGTATGCTTGTCAACTCAATATGATCCATCCATGAGTCACTATGTACTGCATTTCATTAGTGATTTAAGTATGGATTTTCAAGTTCAAATTTTCAAGGAATGGATCATATTGAGTTGGCAAACATACTCAAGGTAAGAAAGATGGCGGATTTGGTTACCTAGATTATATAACCTGGGCTATATACGTGAGCAGTATTAAATAATTTAATTTAATTGATGATGCACATTTGCATCAATCAACATCAATCAATATTATTCGCAAATCACTATAATTTTGCATCAAATTAAATAAATAATGATTATAAAAAATATACAATACAGACACAAAGCATTATTTAATTGCTTAAACATCGATATAAATTTACAAACAGATAAAACATGATAAAAATCAATACAAATGATACACAAAATGCAATCAAAATCGGCGCTTATTTTCAATGTTGGGGTGTATTATATGGCATACAGTGTATGGCAGGGAAGCGGACCCTCGGCTGAGTATTTCTGTGGCATAACATGTGATGAAATGTGTCTCACATTTGACTCGTATTTTGCATTCAATTGACATTTAATTGAAGTTTTCGTTCAAAACATTCATTCAATTAATCGTTGCTTTCATTTCAAGTCTTCGCCAAAACAAAACACACCTTCAGATCGGATCCAAAGACACCGCAAAACACGTCAACAGTAAGTGATTTATACATATTGTTTGCACTCATTGTTTACCATTTGTTTTGTCGCTTTGTTTGTATGGTTGGGATCCGTTTGCGGTGACAATCGCGCAGACAATGAGTGGTAAGCCATTAGACGGCACTAATCGTGGCGTCAGTTGCGAGGAAGAGATCGAAGAGCGTCTTCGACGGCTCAAAGAGGACACCACCGCCGCTGACGACGACAGCCAACGACCGATCACTGACCAGAAGGCCATCGAAGAGCGTTTGGCGCGTCTGAAGGGAATGGATCCGCGGCTCTACTCAATGCCACCCATAACTGTGTTTCAGCCGACGAGACATAAGACGGACACACAGAAGGCCGACGACCTCTTGAAACAGTTTGTCGACGAGCTTAAGATTGACGACTCGTTCACTACTAGACGGCCGCCGTTTGTCGACACCCGACGCCTGTCCACCGATGAGGACATTGAGCGCCGTTTGGCGCGTCTTAAGGGCGAAAACAGTGACTCCGCGGCCGCCGCCGGCCCTAAGCTGTTGTCCGCTGTTATGGATATCGACACCGATTTGGACGACGACGAGATCGAGAAGCGTCTGTTTGACCGCCTGTTGGCTGAGAGCAAACTGCCGGCTATACCGACCCTACCGTTGGACCCACAGGTGCTCGAAGTGGACGAAGAGAATGTGGACATGGGATCCGATTGTCTTCCCTGGTGTCAGATATGCAACGAAGACGCTGTCATCAAATGCATCGACTGTATGGGAGATCTGTATTGCAAACAATGCTTTCTGTGAGTTTTGCCAGTCATTTGATCCGTTGTTTTCCTATGCTTTGTATGCAATTAACTAATAGTTTGTTTGACTCTTCGTTAGTGAGTTTCACGACGACTCTGACCTCAAGAAGCACAGGACAGAGCCGTTTAGAGCGCCCGCCGGTCAGTACGCCCTCTGATGTTCATTATTATCACTCATATAATCGGCGCATCTTTTGTAACATTTGTTTTAATAAATACTTTTAATGAATACTAAAAATATATATAAACTTTATTTATAAATTATAATTTAAATATAATTTTTAATAATTATGCATTGATTTTATTTATTCTTGAATTATTGAATAAATTGTATGTCTTTATGTATCACTCAATGGTTTAATGATTTTTTAAAAAGAATTTCAAGTAATTTATTTAGTAGTTTATAATTTAAATGACTACAGTAGTTAATGAATTTTATACACTACTTTACTAATTAACTTACTTTACACTTTGTTTGTGAATCAAATTTAGTTGATTTGGGTTAAATAGTAGAATCGCTGGTAACTATAAAATTTAGTAACCATTTTAAATATAATCAATACCTAGTAATAAATAATAATATGTAGTAATAAATATGTAAACATGATCATGTTAAAATAGTTGACCAATAAATTTAGTTGATATCATAAATCTCATTAACGAGAGGACCGGCCTCTTTGGGCTCACTCTCTATAAACTTGTCGACGTGTATGCGATTCACAGCATATAATTCCTGCAAATTATTCATTAATCCCACAAACCGTGTCTCCGATTCTGTCTTCGAGCTGTGTTTCAGCTCTAAATATCTCTGAAGTAAATACATGTAGAACTTCTGTTCAGCTCTACATTAATACAATTAAAATTAATATAAATATGATTAATATAAAAATCAATAACAATTCCTTATGCATAACTTACTTAACGTTCTCACTTTGTGACAGATTTGGGATTTTTGGATTAAAGAGTATTATAGCGATTAGCTAAACCATACAACATAAGTGTAATACAGTATAAATGGTTGTTAATTATATAACAAGACTAACAAAATAAGTAATTACCAAATCAATAACATTCACATCGGAATTGTATCCTGTATTCAATGATCGCAAAAATTTTCTGTGGGCTTCGTATAGGTTTCCGCCGACATATTTAAACATATCGAGCTTTAAAGTGGTCGCCGTCTTGTCGTCCTAACAACACATTCAAACAAATACCACATAAATTACTGAACAATTAAAAATATATACATTAAATTCGTGGTAAAATTACATACAATGGCAACCGTCCAGTACTCGCCATCGAAATTAAAATTAATGATAGATATGAGGCACATAATCTCAGGACAGGCGGCTTTAACCAAGGACACTTTGTCCGATTCGCATAAAGTGGTAAATTTGCTTAAAGTCTTTGACATCTTAACGATTCGCCGACACTTAGTATCGCATCTAATTTGTAATACCTTTAGCACATCTCTGAAACCAGTGGTTTCTGACGTCACCTCAACCGCCGGATCTCTCATAACAGACGTAGAGCTGAATAACTCCCGAAAGTGATTGATTTCCATATCATTGAACGCGAAGATCATGTCTCTGACCAGAGACGGCACTTCAACCTCTCGTCTCCGGGCGACGGTCTGTTCATCAGCGCAACTGTTCCCACAATTGCATGAATTGACGGAATCGGTGGTCGAGTCGACCAGACTTTCGGTGCCATTTAATCGTCTCTTTTTGTCTTTCCGTTTCTGTCGCTCTTCTCCGGAGAGAATCCATTCCTTAAAAGCATAAGAATTAATAAAAAACATTATATTTAGAAATATATATAAAATTCAAACAACAAAATTCTCACAATTTTCATTCCGGTGTCAAAACATTTTTGAATTCTGCATTTTTTGCAGAATTTTCTTGTAATGCATGTAATCTCACAATTGTCTCCGAAATAGCATTTTAATTCCTAATGCAATTTATATAAATGTATCATGGTATTAATTGGATTGACCAAGATCAATTTAAACATACCTGAGCTTTAGGTGCTGTGCGCCTAAAGAATGATCGACACGATTCACAGGTAACGGCACCAAAGTTTTTGCCTAAAACGTGTCCACAAATTATTATTACAATTAGCTTATGATATAAATCACAGTTTAATTCATACCAACCGCTCGATCCCCGCAAACACAACAAATCTTATCGTTTATTATTGTTTGCATTTTTTATTTAACAATAAAACCAAAATGCACTCAAAGTTACCTTCAATAACAGTAAAAACAATGTTAAGTGCATTATTATAAAAAAATACAATGCATTGATAATTATCATGAAATACCTGTGATCTCGACAAATGAAATTTTCTTAATTTCCCAAAACCTCAACAAAAACTGTTATATAAAACACAATATCTTTCGTGAATTCACTGAAAACTTATAATAAGTTTGTCTTTAAAGAACAATGAAAGAAATAATTAACAATTTTCCGTTCAATTCTTATAGTATTTTAAGTAATCAATATATTATATATGTTGTTTATATAATTTAATGTTACCACATCATTAAATATTATTAAATATTAATATAAGAACTATATTAATGAATAAAATAAATTCAATAATTAATGTATTTATGTAATAATAGATTTAATGTCTTATTTAAAAACAACATTTACATTTATCACAATATTCTAGTCGATAAACAGTGTATCAAAATTTGTTGTAATTACAATGACATTAAATTTAATGCATTTTAATATGCAGTAACTAATTTTAATAAAACATTTTAATACACTTTATTTATTGAGTAACTTTTGAGTATCGAGTTATAAACAAGTGTTCAGTACATTATTTCCTATTATTAAAATTGTAAAATATAAATCTTGATAATTGTCAAACAAATCGATAAATATATGTTAACTCAGGTGTTTGTATTTCAATTTGTAACAAATATTACCCGTACAACATACATAATGTATAAGTCTATAAATTAATCAAAACATATACTATAATGTAAATTTTGTACAATAAATTTCGGTAAAATATAATAAGATATTTAATCACAGGTATAGATAGTTATCTAGTTATCTAGATATTAGAAAACATTAGATTCAAAAAGGTTTTATCTTAAATAAATATTATCTCAAATGTATTTACGTGCAAATTAATAATTTTGCAGTATATTTACCTCTTAGGGAGTATCAATGAATGTAAAATAATCAATGAATGTAAGGTTTATAATTTATAAATAAACTTTGTACATGTAAATCATATTTATTAAACTTATTTATTAATACATAAAACTATTAATTTATTGAAAACTATTAGCAATTGATTTGATAGTTATTTGACGGCATATATGACTGATTGATGTCAAAAATCTCGTCGACGAGAGGACCGGCCTCTTTGGGTTCTGCCGTATGAAAGGTGTTGACACACAACCGATTCACTGCATATAATTGTCGCAAATTATTCATTAAAACCCCGAATCGTCGCTCCGTTTCACTCATTGAGTTGTATTTTAACTCCAAATACCGTCGAAGCAAATGAATATACAATTGTTGTTGAGATCTAATAAATACAATACAATTGTTATTTAATTTCCATAAAACATCATTCATTTATCACTCACTTTATGATATCCTTATGCATTAAATCTGGACGATTAGGGTTGAAGAGCGATATAGCGATTAACTAAACATAATTTAAATTTAATTATTCGTCTATAAAATAAATTATAATAGACTATTGAATACCAGATCAATGATATTGACATCACAATCATATCCTTCACTAATTGCATACAAGAAGTTTCTGTGGCCTTCGTATAGGGTTTGGTCAACATTTCTAAACACATCGAGTGGTAAAATAGTGGCATTTTCGTCGTCCTAATAGTTAATTAAGATTAAAAACTTGGCTTAATTTAGTTTACTTATGTGTGTAAACAAATATGAAATGACATACAATGGCAACCGTCCAGAACTCGCCATTAAAATGGAAATTAATAACAGATATCAAGCATATAATCTCAGGACAGGCGGCCTTCACCAAACATATCTTGTCCTCTTCGCACAAAGTGGTAAATTTGCTGAGAGTTGTGGACATTTTGATAATTCTGCGGCACTTAATATCGCATCTCTTTTGCAAAACAATGAGCGCATCCATCAAAGTGTTGGTTTCAGTCGTGATCTTCAACACCGGGTCTCTCATCAAAGCTGTTGAGCCGAATAACTCGCGAAACCCATTGATCTCCATATCGTTGAAGGAGAAGATCACGTCTCGGACCAGAGCCGGCACTTCGCCCACTCGTCTTCGGGCGACAATCCATTGGCTATACCTTCTCATCGCTAGCCTGTCGTCACTCGAGGAATCGGACGTCGAGTCCAAGGGTTCATCGGTTTTTCGCCGCTTCTGGCGCTCCAGTCGTTGCCGTCTCTCTTCTTCGGAGAGAATCCATTCCTTAACACAACAAATATAGAAACAAAACATTAATTGAAAATTTTATTAATTGTAAAAATACTAACTATTTTCATACCGACAGCAAAACATTTCTCAATTCTGCACTTTTTGCAGAATTTTCTGGTCGCACACGTGATCTCGCATTTGTCACCAAACATACAGTTTAATTCCTATAGGGTTTGGGAATTGGTAAATAAATGGTGTACTTTATACAACAAATCCAATCAACAATTTGCACACAACTTACCTGAGCTTTATGTGCTGTACGTCTAAAGAATGATCGACACGATTCACACGTAAGCGCACTAAAGTTATGGCCTAAAAATCGGTATTATTAGTGAAATAATTAATTAATGGTTTAATTCAATCCATACCAACGGCGCGATCGCCACAAACGCAGCATATCTTTCCATTCATTGTTATAAACAGTTATGTTTGAAATCCCGACTCAATTCAAATACACACACAATTCAATTGTGCAACTTATTTAAGACTTATGTATAATTATTTCTTTTAATACAAGTAATATTATGAGTATTGTTATACTGAATACTTTGTATTATGGAAAATAATATACAGGTAAAATCAATGCCGAATGAGTGCAACTGTTGTTTTTAGACAAGTAGTAAAACAACAATCAAGTGATAAAAAATTTTATCATAAAATAATATAATTTTTATACAACTTTTTGATTGAATTTTCTCAGAAATGAATTTCAATGGCATTAATAATATCGATGAAAGTCTATGAGAACTGTTTAATACAAACCATAAATATTATGATTACCAATTAATACATAATAAAATGTATTAATTTTATTTTTGATTAAATTATTTAATGTACAATTTAGAAAAGTACCATATATAAAAAATATATTTATATAGTTGTTAAACCAAATTTATTAATATAAATAAAACATTTATAAATCATTGGAAACTGATCAAACATGTTTAAAATGTACATGGGTACAAAATATACAGGTAATTGTAAATAATAAATGCCTTCCGTAACGAATACGCGTATATTTGTTACATTAAATAACGGAGAAAAATACAACATCTTAAACAATATTTAATAATAAATGATTAAAAATTATTGTCTGTTATACCAGGTGTGTAATAATTTATTACTAATAAATTATCAACATTCATCTAAATAACTAGTACAATTTAAGTGGAACTTTCATTTTTAATTTTAGTTGATACATTAATGATACAATTACATTATTTTTCTTTAAACTTTATTTTTGTTTAAATTATTCATTGAATTAAATTTATTTTTATAAATTCATGCATTATTTTATCGCTTAATGTATTGAAAACACGTTTTAATTATCATTACATCTATGCCTTAATGTATAATATTTTAATTTAAGAATATAAGAAGTTATTAACTAAATTATTGTAATTAGAATTAGTATTAAGAATAAGTAGACATTTAGTAATTTAGAAATGTATATCAAAATCAATACACAATAAAATTTTTTAATAAAATTTAATTAAAATTGAAATATTTATCCCAAATGTGAGTCAAAATGAATACAAATAAAAAACACGAGAAATGAACGGACAAAAAGAGTTAAGATAAGTAAGAATCGGGTGGATTGTCACTATCACTGTCACTATCACTATCACTGTCACTACTGTACCAATCAATCCAGAAATACAGATCGTCGGCCCTACCGGTCACCGACCGGACACTATGTGCCGGTTGCCACGTGGTTGTGAAGTGCTGGTGTAAGGCAGGTGTGGACATCCATATAACACTACACGACTCGAGCGAATTGTAATCGATGGCAGATATCAAGTGTTGGGTCACTTCATCCACACTGAAAGCCTCGCGGAGACCACAGCGCAGACCGGAGTTAATAGCGGCCAACAGTTCCGGTGTGAGCGACCACTCGTCATACGTCCGGATCGTCGGTTCCGGTGATTTAATCTTAAAGCGAATGATCGCCGGATTGATGGCCACATTCCTGGCCGACAGCCTCTCCATCAGCGCATCCCTCATATGCGGGAACAGTACGAGTGTCTGTGCCTTCGGTGACACCCGATGGCCGATCGTATGGACGCAATAGTCAGTCAACGCCGACATATCCGCCCATCTCTTCACACGAAGGACTCGAAGTTCTGTAAAGAGATTGAGATGTTTAGCGGCTATAGAGTTGTTGACATCGAGGTAAAGGCTCCGGAGTTGCGGTAATTGTGACACCGATTTGAGACAATCGTACATAAGTTGAGAAGAGGGTAACAACAAGTGGCCGATTGTCATGTGTTTCAATGCGGGAAATTTGGTGGCCATTTGTGTCCACATCTGTACCCCAACTAACCGTACGCTCAATGACTTCAATCGCGGCATCGCTTGCATTGACTGTATGTTAAACATAATACTACTGATCGACAAATGTTGCAATTCTGTGAGTTGTGCGATGTCTTGGCCAAAGACTTGATCTAAGAGTGGATTAAATTGATTCGAGAGTGGATCCAATTGAGACGACAGTTGTGTGAATTGAACGCGAAGTGTCTTCAGTTTAAACGACTCGCAAATCATCCGATATAATTGGTTCCAGTCGTCGATGGCGTCGGTTATGTTGTCGTTGTCGTCGATGATTGACAGCGATTCCAGTTGTGGACACTTTGTGTTGAGAGATAGCAGCGAAACGGCCGATAAATAGCGGTCAGAGATGTGAAGGCGACGGATATTCGGCGGCAAACAAGCCATCACTCGATCGGTTCCGTCGTTGAAATCCACGAAATCTATGGACTCGAGCGATGATAATCGGCTCAATGCCTGCAAACTATTGCCATAAAAGCCCTCAACAGTTATGTGTTTAATCTGAGACAACAGTTGTGTCCACTCTTCTTCAGTCTTCTCCTCTGACCACTGAATCTCAACGCAAACCAAATAGAGTTGAATGAGTTGTGGAAAGCGATTGACAATCACTTCCAGTGTCTTGAAGTCAAAGCATGTGTTTCGCAAAAACATAGACTTAATGTTTGAACACTTCTTCAGTATTGAATCGATTGTGAGTTGACTTTCAATCAAATCAAATGTGTTGTCGTCTTTGCGGACAATCGCTTCACTGATATCTTCGCCGACAAACTTATGATCACTCGTGTCATTCATATACCCATCGAAACCAATGCTGAGGCCAATGGTCTTCTTCTGGAGAGCAGTTTCAATACAATCGTTGAATTGAATGCAAACCGTCTCTAATCTCATGAGTTGTTTAACCGAAAGCTCATTGAATATCAGTCCCAAGACTTCGTCACACATCACATGAGTTCTTCGGGAAGCGCTGTCTTCGGCAACGGATCCGGACATTGAATTACTATTGAAAGACATTTAAAAAAAAGTACTGCAAAAATGTGTCACAAATTGAAATGATTTTTCAAAACTTTGTTAAAAACTTTGTTAAGAAAAAAGTTTACTGTTTTGTTCGCGCGATTCGTGTAATAAATGAAAAGTCAATGTTTTCTACAAAAAACTGAGAATTGGATTATTTTCCTCAAAACTTTATTTTTGCTCAAATTATTTATTTAAAGATTTGTATCATTTATGATTGATTTTTATGTAAAATCAACATTTAATAAACTTAATTAAAAATAAACATTACAAATAAATATAGATTTAATGTTAGTGTATTACTACATCAGAACAACCCTAGGTGCAACAAAAACTAAAACTTAAGTTTAATAATAGTAATATAAAATTTTATAAATGTATTGACATTTTAATGTCGCATAATATTTTAAATTTTAAAATATACTTTAAAATACTGTAGTTTATTCACAGTATTAATAAATTATAACACAATGAATTGTTTAAATTAATAAAATTTTATTTATTTAATCTTTAATATAAATTAGTTTTAAAAATAATTCTTTTGGACTAGAAGTACAATTTTATAAATATAAAAAATTTAAATATATTTACAAATTATTTCCGGTATTAATGACTAAAATAATATTTCATATAAATATATTCAGTGTCTAATAAATGAGATCAAGAAATATAGTAAAAATGTGAATATAAATAATAGCTTATCTGATAAATGTGAACATGTATGAAAAGCTGAATGAAATGTTCATGATCTACAACCGGCATTGAATATTTACATAGTTTACATAGAGCTTTAGTTGGAATTATGAGTAATTGCCGGTTACTGTCCATGATCAATATGTTTTGAGTATGGTATGAATTAGAAAGCGAGTTCAGCGCCCCAGGGACGGTAGTGTTTGGCCACTGACGAGTTGTGTTGGGACATGAGTCCACTCCCATTACCGCTCATATAAGCGCTCGGAAGGTATGGATTGTGGAAATTGTGAGCATTTGAAGCACTTATCGCTCCCATCGTTGCCATCGTTGACGAACTCGACGGTTGGTATGGGATTGAAGACATCGACGAAGAACTGGTTGCTGTCGACGAAGCACTTGACTTGTGACCCGACGAGTGACCCATCATTTGGGATCCACTTATGGATGAGTCGACTAACGATTGATGAA